GTTTGCCAACACGACTTTTCAATCGTAAACGAAATGGGAATTTTTGCCGAATTATTGTTAAGACTAAGGCACAAGAATGTTCACCTTAACGTGCATTCCTATTCCTGTGTCCTGTTTAGGCGGACATACAAGTTAATCGCACCAACGTTAGCACTACAATTAACATTAACCCTAACGTCAACACTTACTCTCACTATAAACTGAACCCTGATTTTCCCTACTAAAATAAATGGACAAATTATGCTATCTAGCAACACTACTGCTCTGAATGCTATTCTTATTAACTGTAAGGGTGTTTTAGAAAAAGTGGACTCGATTGCTTCCCCTCAAATACCTTTCAGACTCAGATTTTCGCTGTGCCGTGCTGCTGTGACGGCTATTAGGCTACCCCCGACATTACTACTACTACTACTAATGTTACTGTTAGTACTCACGAGGGTTCCTGGCATGTCCCTCGGCCCGATAGGATACAGAAGAAGGAGCGTCCCCTCCCGCACTAGAGGTGGTTGTGCGTTAAATTTAAACAAGCGTGCCTGTTTCCGTATCTTCATCCTAACATTAACCAAAAGTAACTTCCACATTCAGCTCGAAATCCCAACAATAGCACTGGAATTTAGCACAAAGCCACCTGTATTGCGGGTGGTTGCCAGTTCCCATGTCCGATTTAGGGAGGCCATAAAAGTAACCCTTGTCGACAGTTTAGTTAATATGTCCTGCAGTTAGATGCAAACAGTTTGCAGTCAGAATAATCAGACGAGCGAACGGGCCTGAGTACGGAAGGAGAATAAGGCTGGTTGATGGCCAAAACCGGTATCTCATGCTCACCCGTCTTCTGATCACGTTGAGCCATTTTCGTGCTGACACCCACATCGCACAGCGCCGAAATGTCCGCCTCACTAAACCCGGCAGCCTCATTGTTACGGACGAAGAGGGAGGCTGACGTGGTGGTACTGTCGTCCGCCGTGTACAGGTAGAACTCAATGCTCGGCACTGAACCGCCGTCGTTGTTGCTGCCGCGATCATCCGCATAGGTATTGTCATCGGCGTTCTGAATGAGTTCCAGCAAAAAGTGCCCCGGTTGACCGTAGAGTTCCTGTGAGAGGTGGGCCAGACTCCTGGATAGTCTTCTCTCGTAGAGCTAGGAAAGGCAAAAGATGGCAACAGGTCTGGTCAAGGAACGGAGACTGGGACGGCTGCTTCTAGCAGCCATCAGCCATTTCTATCTAACTCGTGTTGCTGGCATAACGAGGTTTAGACCAGTTAAGATAGCACTGCAACAACCTATCCACATGACATACGCTTGGGCTGTGGACGTCAGTCAATTAAAAGGGAAAATCAGCTAAGAGGGGACAGGAAGAACATAGACATTTCCGTCCCGCAACTACCCCCACTAGTCGGATTAAGCAATGAATTGAGTTAGGGCACAGTTGCTGACTGATGCCGGAACTTCGTCAGTCTAAACACTGGACTGCCTATTGCAACTGGCAATATTCCGTCCTGTAGGCGTACTATTAATTAGATCAACTATTTTGTGAAAATATGGAGAAGGTACGATTTTAACTAATATATCACGTATTTTTCTACTGTTCCGTGGACAGTAATTAACAGACATTACTAAGAGTCAGTACATGATGCTGTAAATTCACATTTCTGAAAAATAACTACGTGCGCAACTTGCGCTCTAGCATAATCGCGGTTAGAGGGGAAAATTTAGAAGCAACTGTTAAACTCGAATATTACACGCTGGGAAATAAGTACAAAGTTGAGAGCATGGCAGTTTTTTGTTGATGAGCGGATATGTGGCCCCACCCAGTCTTCAATGATATTAAGTACCTATTTACCCCCAGTTCTATAGGCTTAGAAGGTTAGGACTAGAGGTTTTAGGGTAAGGTTTGCTTTTCTAACACACGTTTATAGTTAGAGTTTTAATTTCACCTTCAGGGTCATCATACCTTATAGGTAACCCTAAAGCCTTGTTAACCACCTATGTAATTCGTAGTAGTTAATATGTTTGGTTCTACTACTTTTTATATACATCGGTTGAACCACCACAAGGGTTGGGCATTGTCCAACTTCGGCGGTTGCGGCCATCACCGGAGTCAGGTTTAAGGATACCTTTTTC